TTTGCATGTTCTTTTTGCATGTTCTTTTTGCATGTTCTTTTTGCATGTTCTTTTTGCATGTTCTATATGCTGATTACTCTCCCTTAGTTGCGCCGCGGGTCGTCTCTTAGTAGGAGTCGTTCAGGAGCACCCTACAATCTGGTCTAGAGCAACCTACAATTACGAGCTTCGTAGAGCATGTTCAACAATCCTTCTTCCCTCGTTCTCTTTTCTTCACCCTCCCCTATAGTTTCTCCTAAACCTATAGTAAAAGCATACTGTAAAATAAAAGCGTAGTAAGGCAGCAGAAGGAGAGCAATATTATAGAGAAAGTCAGAATAGCGTTAGGGTAGGTATAATCTGCAAAGGCTAGGTACGCTGCACAAACAGCCGTTTGGAGTAATTCTGAATAGCTTATGGGGTGCTCCTGAACGACCCCCTCTCCTAGTGCAGATGCGCCGCTCTCGCCATGTCAACGAGAGAGAGGAACCAGACTGGTTGTACAATTGACGCCTTCCAGTCGAGATGCGTCGCTCTTTAATCTATCTGCGACTCGGCTTTGCGGTCCGGTGCCTTAATTTCGCAACATCACGTTTACCCCACGATCCCAAAACGACAGCCCGGCTTTTGCCCAAGATATATTATCCCAACATCAAAGCTTGTCTATATCCCAAGGAAAACGGTGACTTAACTTAACACGCTCACTATAGAAGCTTCTACCCGGCTTCTTCCGTGCCATTATTGGTCTGGTCGTAATGCTCCAGATGAAACCCAGATTCAAACAATAAGGAAGCCAGGTAACATCGTCGGTCAGTGTCAGGGTTGCGTATACATACTGTGGATCACGAGTATGTAAAGATCATCAGTTGAGATGACGATGTATGAGTGTGGGAGGTATAAAGAATACCTTTTCCCCAACTTCGAAAGAGCCACATACGACACAGCTATCGACGACATAATGCATCGTCAAGCCTTCACCGCCGCTCTGCTCACAGCAGGCAGCGCCTTCGCAGCTCCCGCACCACAGGCATCTGGCGCACCAGCCGCCGAGATTGCATGCCCCATTGTCTTCGACGGCCGGGTCCCAGTCGGCACCGAACCCACCTTCTTCGACACATATGCGACAAACACGATCTTCAACCCGGACTACGTCAAGGGCAACGACCTCAAGTGGAGTGAAATTCTCCAGTTCCCGGCTGTCGAGTCATCGCGCTTCGATGGCGAGGAGCACACGCCGTTGGAAGTGACTCTCTCCGACAAGAGCATCTTCATGCAGCAGAATGGGTTCCGGAGAGCGGGTCTGCAGTTCCTGAGGGACTCGCCTGATGGGGCGGGAACCACCGGGATCAAGACGTTGCATTTTTCGGTTAAGCAGGATCCGGAGAGGCCGTTGAACCTGACACATGAGTATCTCGTATGTGTGTTTCGATGTCTGTGTGAGCTTGAACTGATGTGTAGTAGAACGTCTGGCACGAAGCCGCAGACTATTCGTCCAACCAGATCCAGTTCCAGATAGGAAGCCTCATCGGAAAGTCGTCGGCGGACAAGAACAACTTCAAGATCCTGGACCGCAATGGCCGGTCTCTGTACTCCGTGGCCATGGATCAGACGAACTGGCAGAACTTCGCCATCACGCTGAACTATGAGAGGAAGTTAGTACTCCCTATTCTTCATCCCATCACCTCCTTGAAATGGCCTAGGGTAGCCGCTAATCATCCGCAGCCAAGTACAAATCTACTACAGCGTAGGCAACGAGCCTCTGAAATCCGTCGCGGGTCCGACTTCCGTCAACATTGCTGGTGGAGGACAATTCCAGATGGGTATGTTGAAGAAGCCGACGGGCACCAGCGATGTTGTGAACAGTGGGTACCAGAGCAGGAATCTCAACGAGGGACAGATCTATGGAGGCCTGTTCTTGGAGGACAGTGCAGGCGGCTGTGTGTCGTTGTAAGGGTTGGATCTCAAAGCGGAGGGAAGAAGGAGGTTGAGAAACGAAAGGGCTGAGAAATTGCACATAGCTTGATAGAGTACTGACCGCCTGCTTGTATATATCCTTGGCGAAGTCGCACTTTCCGTGTTCGCAATGCACTTTGTGGAAGCTGCATGTGCTGTTTTATGGAATGTGGGCAGGAGCATCCCAGCACCACTCATCGCAAAAGGCTGCCCCTCCAGAAACTGGCCCCCATGTCTTCTACACTCTACTTTTCCGTTGCTTGGACTGCATTCACTGCCTCCTTCTATGCCAAAACGGGTGTGCATGGCTCGTACCCTTCTTTGAAAAACCTCGCCTGACGTTGACAAGTATAGGCAATGTCCTCGTCCTGGCTGCTCGCCCGATGGTACCCATCAGGTGTCTCCTGCATGATACCTTCGAGATCCCATACTTGGCACCACGCAGAGTTCACCCGGCGTCGATAATCAGGCGAGAGATTGAGGACAGCGGTGTTGCTACATGCATAAACTCGGATTGTCGTGGAACGCTACTTTGTACGCTCTAGCATCCAGCTGAAGGTACAAAACGCCACGCTGAGCCTAAGAAACCCGGGCCGACTGCATCGTCTACAAGCAACACCGGTAGTGCTTAGTTCGACACCTTTCCAAGGACAGAAAGATCAAGATCTCTCAATCTACGTCATGACCCGTTCTGACTTTTGTGCTCTCCACCTTTACGGTGCTTTGATACGGTCCTTCTGTCGTCCGGCTACTTTCCGTCCTCGGTCCCGAGAATTACGTGACAGCTGCAGAGTAAGCGCCAGGGTGCACAGATCTGCACCACAAGAAAGATGGACACCCCACCCCCCTACCCACCAAAGCAGTTGTCGCCAACCACTTCGCTCCATGTCATGGCTGCAGTATTGACTGAGCGCCTCAGCCATGCAGTGGCGTCTATGTGCGACCTTCCTTCTCGTGTCGCTCGCTTCACCGCAAAAACAGCAAAAGCGCGCGGAAACTCACGTCGACATCAGACCAGACGCTCAGGCACTGTTTAAGGGGACAAGCATAAATACTCCGGAGGCGAAACAATTGTTGCCCGTGCTTCAGGGGCTACGAGGTGCCGAGCACCGAATTGAGGTCCGGTCCTGCCCACCACGCCTTAACCGAGCCGTTGAGACCCTGGTTCAGATCGCTGAGTTGCGTGCGAAAGCCCGGAAATAGAAAGGCTCCTTACGAAAAACGGCGAAGTTGCCATGCTCGTCCCAAGCCGCTAGACGACTTCAGGGCGCGTCAGGTTTGCGCGCCATCGTATCGGGTGTTGATATAGAAGGGACTCTACACCTCGACTATCCGAACATGAGCCTTACCCTCTCCTCGTCACCTTTGTGAGACTCGAGGACGTTGTGGACTCTGCCCCTGGAGACTTTTGGTCTCCGTACATTCGCTTTCTTTAGTCTTCCGCTATACTTTCGAATATGTATTCTCCCATTCTAATCGGCCTTGCAGCCGGCCTGGTCAGCGGGGTTTCGGCCGCCTGCAGTGGTCCTTTGAAGATCGATGACTTCTCAAGGTGGTCGAGCAACACAAACAGCTTGAACTCTTGGACCAGCGGTAAGTTGAGCTCACTCTATACTTTCTAGGTGCAGGCCTGACAACAGCAGATGATGGTTCTATGACTTCGATCTCAGCCAGCGGTGGAATTCTATCTTTCACTCCCAAAGCCAGCTCCTACTTTTACGAGAACATCCCATGCCAGGCAGCGAGCTCCGATGGTTACAACTCCCTACAATTCACCGTGAAGGGCCCCGCAGGCGGCTCCATCACGCTTGAAATCCAAACCAAGAGCTCTTGCTCCGCCTCGACCTACACCTCTCACTGGTACGGCGTCACTGGACTCACAGGGAGCACCCAGACAGTTACCATTCCTTTGAGTTCATTTGCCGGCGCCAACGCCAACGCTATCACTGCGTTTGTCTGGTCGGGGTTTTCCGGTACGGCAGGCTGGCAAATGAGCAATGTGCAGCTCGGCTGTGGCAGCACTTCTCCATCGTCAACCAGTGTTAGACCGTCTTCTACCGTGGTTCCCACCTCCACCAGGACCACGCTCATTACTTCGTCGACTCCCTCTGGGACATGCGCTCCCCTGCTGATCGATGATTGGACTTCGCAATCCCGTCTGACTTTCCTCTACTACAACGCCATGCTTGAGCCGACCTCCGACGATGGAACCTTTGCATCGCTCCAAGTGAATAACCCGAGCAAGAACCGTGTGACTTTGAACCCGAAGTCCACGAGCTCGTACTTCTACTCCCAATTCGGCTGTGTCAACGCGAAGAACAAGTATGGTGGCATCTCCCTCCGAATCAAGGCGCCTGCTGGAACCACCTTCTCCGTACAACTGGACTCCTCAGCCTCTTGCGATCCCACCAATGCACAATCTGCAGGCCAATCGTCGACCGAACTTGGTTGGACTTTCGACGGCACGGAGAAGCTCTACACCATTCCTTTCTCCAAGTATCCGTCTTTGAACTTGGAGAAGCTCACGACGATCTTCCTTTCTGGATTTACCCGGCCAGTCGTTTTCGGTCCCATGGCTTTCTACTGCGGCAATACGGGCTCTGAGTACGTCGTCAGTACCACAACGGCGCCAGCGGGTCCGTCGTCCACCGTTGCTGCACCAACTGGCACTGCTGCTCCTATCGTCATCGATCGGTTCGCCAATCCAAACAGCAACGCCCTCGGTTTCTGGCACGGCGGAGATGATGGAATGGGCCTCCAATACGGCAGCAACAGGCTTACCATCACGTCCAACGACGCCGATTACTCGTTCTATACTCAGGTATCTGGCTCTTGCAGCGACTTCCGCAACTACCAGGGCTCTTATCTGCACATTGCGTACAGCGGCTCCACTAAGTTCACCGTCTCACTACAGCAGCACAACAGCCAGTGCAACCAAGCGGTAGCCCCCT